TGTCAGCTGCAAATTGGCACTTGCCAAGAGCATTTGCCAACAACTGAACAACAATAAGGGAATTAGCCATCTGCCTCTGTGGAGATTGAACCTTGTGCTATTGCAGCTGTTGACCTTCAACCACCCAAAGGAGTTCAGGGTGGAGCGAGGCACTCTCTGTGCTCCAGGAAATCTGGTGGGACAGGTCTTTAGATGGTTGGATGTTTTTAGAAACAGATTTTATGTTTTCAATCCTTGCATCTCCTCATATCTAGAAAAGCACTAAATCCCTTCATGGTGACATCGGAGCCTTGTGACAACAGAAGTGAAAGTGAAAGTCGCTCAGTCATGTCTGACTCAGGGACTGAACCCAGCTCTCCCGCATTGCAGGCAGACTATTTACTACCTGAGCCACAAGAGAGGCCCAAAAATACTGGAGTGGGCAGCCTATCCCTTCTCCAGCAGATCTTCCTGACCCAGGAATCAAACCAGGATCTCCTGCATTGCAGGTGGATTCTTTACCAACTGAGCTATCAGGTAAGCCCTTTAAAAAGCACTGGATCCCTTCATGGTGACGTCAGAGGCTCGTGACAAGCAGAAAACCTTTTGTAAAAAGGAATGCCTAATTGTATTGAACTCTCCCCCTTCACCAAAATCTTATATATCGACCTTCCACTATGGACTCTTTGGAGCAATCTCTCAGAGCTAGCTGAGACTGCTGCCTCCCAGGCTGCAGTTCTCATTTTGCCCCCAAATAAACATAACAGGCAACTCTCAAGTCGTGCATCCTTTTTTTTTTAGTCCACAGCTTAAAATATCTCTGAAATAGGGATATTCATCATTTTGCTACAGGGCCGACTAGCAGAGGCTGGGTATATTAATGCTAAGAAACTGGTCAGCTGAGACCCAACTTTTCTGTGAATGTGGGCAAACTAAAGAAAGAGATGCAACCTGTAGGAGAGGAAAAGGAAACATGGGCAGAGGAAAACACGGGGGAAAGACTTGGAGAAAGGGAAGCTTGAAGTGTATCAAGGATGATTAAAATAAGAGGCGGGTGAAATTCAAAGGAAGGAGGAAAGAAAGTTCCAGCACAAATAAAGCTTTCCGGCGCTCTCGCTGGTTCCGGGCCACCGGGTCCAAGCCAGGGTCAAGAATCTCGCAAACCTCGCCACGCCCAGTCACCCGGAGGGCCTCCGCTTCCCAGCGCAGCGCGCGGCGCGGCGCTATGACGTCAGTGGGGGCGGGACTTCTTGTCCCAGTGACGCCTAACTCTGGTTTTGGTAGAAGGTGGTTCCTTCCGGGTGGACAGGTGAGGAGCTTCCTCCCACGTTCTGGGGGTGACTTCGTAGGAGGAAGGACGGCGGGACAGGCACGCGGGAGATGCAGCCCTTTCTCTTAATGGCTCTCGCAGAGCCCGTGCCGCCCTTAGCCAGACGGCCGGTAGGAGCGTGAATAACGGGGCTGCGACCTCTTGGGGGCCCGGAGCCCTTTGGCCTGCCGGCCCAGCGGGAACGTAGCATGTGGACCGCTGAGGGCAGCCTGCCTGAAGGGAGTCTTATGGCGGCCCTTTTGGGGGAGTAGGGGGCCCGGACTTCGGACGGCTGATAGGGAACAAGTGACTAGAAGTGGCCAAAGTCTGGGCTAGAGAGCCCAAAGGTCTGAGTGCTTGAAGTAACTAAGCCTCTAGCCTTGAGCTAGTCAACTCTGGGGCCGCCCTGGGTGTCAGTTTCCCATCTTGTCCATTGGTGGTCTCTTTTGGTTTGGAATCAAGTTTCTCCTCAGGATCAACAGCCTTCCCGCTGCCTCTCAAATTTGTTACACCAGGTATCCTTGAGAACTGACTGTTGCACCAATCTCTGAACTTGGCCCTCCTCTGAGCCTGGCGTGCTGCAGTCTATGGGGACGCAGCGTCGGACACGACTTAGCGACTTAACAACCACCACCACCATTTGTTTGAGGTTCACTCTAGTTGGTCTGATGGTTCTCCGTGACGCCAAGGTCAAAATGGCACTTGTTGCCTTGAACTTAAAGAGTGCAGCATTTTGGGAAAACAGTTGTGACTTTTGTTGCCTCTACCGCGTGTGATGCATCATGGTATTTTTCGGAAATAGTCCGTGTCTCATTTTGTCTTATGTATAAAATGGGGTACATTAGTAGCCAGCTGATAAGATTGTTTTCTTAACTGAGATACTACATGTAACACTTGGAACAGTACTTTGCACATAATAAGCACTCAGTAAATGTCAACTGTCCACAGCCCTGCACCGATTTCATAGCTCTCTTGAAGTTCTTTGCTGCAGGCTACTGGAGTTTACTGTAATCTCTCACCTTTGAGTTTTTTTATTTTTGCACACCAGACAGGATGCATAATTCCTTAGAGATCCATGCAAACTGTTGAGTGAGTCAATAGCCTTTCACTTTTTTGTAATGTCCAGTTGTAGACTGTTACAAATAGAACTGTTGTGAATCTTTGCTTGAATGTTTTTGCATGAATATGTTTTTATATCTCTAAGACAAATACCCAGTAATACAATTGTTGGGTAACAGGATGTGCATTTAGTTAACTCATGTGTTTGTTTTTTTTCTTTAGTAGCTTAATAGGTGAACTACATTGATTGATTTTTGAATGTTAAATATACCTGGAATAGATCCCACATAACTCATCTTCTATGTTGCTAGATTCTATTTATTATATTTTGTTAAGGTATAGATATGAGAGGTGTTAGTGTGTAGTTTTCTTTTTCTTTCTTTTGACCTAAATAAAGTTAGAATCCAATTAATATAAGCAGATAAACACCTATGCTTAGCTGAGTAAAGCTTACCTAAGCTGTGCAGATTGTAGCTACACTGTGTACCTGGTTTTTAATCCAGCGTAAGTCTTGCTGCTTGTCAAAACTGACCATTAAAGATTGCTTGTAGGTGGTGCCTGAGGGCGGGGCTATCAACTTTTAATACTATATATTAGAACACATTGTCTCCTGTTAATCTGCCCATTGTTTGCAGCACTGAATTACCCTGGGTTCTTAGGTAAGGAAGAAAGTAAAATTTTTCTTTACTTTTTTTTATTTGGCTGTGTAAGATTCAGAAACATAAGAGTGAAATAAAATAAAAAGATGCTTTACAATATGTACATTAACTGCAGGTTTCTCAGTGGTATTTTACTTGAAGTGTTTAGAGTTATTGTTAGTTTTTTGCTTGTTTTCCAGTTTTCATAGACTGTTTGACTTTCATATCTGCTTGCATTCTTGTTAATTCTGTGGCTAAGCTCCTAAGATGTCATTTACTTTGAAGTTAAGTGTTTATGAGTTGAATATAGTTAATAACTTTGGATTCTCTTTCTGGGGCAAATCTTAAATTTAGCCAGTGTCCTCTCTGTCAGCACTCTAATTTAGTACTGTGTATAACAGTTAAATCTAATTGTTTCTAACACTTTATAAATGTCATAAGACCTTTATAAATATATTGTATCTTGTGATAGTTTTAGAGATTGGGCTACAGTGACATTTATTAGTGAACTAAAAATCAATTGAAAAGGTGAGATGATACTTTTATTTACTTAGTCAATGTATGTTAATATAATTTTTGAAAGGAGTCCTCACTTCATAAGTGAAAATTTTTCATTCCAAATAGTTTTCCACTATTGACCTTTTGGGCTAGTGATTCTTTGTTGTGGGGGCCTGTCCTGTGCAGTGTAGGGTGTTAAGCAGTATCCCTGGCCTCTACTCACTAGATGCTGGTAGTAATACCTCCCCTGATACCAAGTGACAATAAAAACTGTTTTTATTTTTTGCCATATGTCTTCTGGGGGACAAAATTGTCTCCGCTTGGAAGTCACTGCTCTAGAGAGACCTCACAGCCTAAGCATGGAAGTAGGGGGGACAAGTCCTCGAGAAATCTTCTGAGAGAGTATATTGAAACCAGGGGGAAAAATCCTTTCTTCTGCAGTGTCTCTCTTCCAGCCCATTCTTCAAGGTTAACATCATGTCAGTTGGCAGAGGGAAAATATGTAAAAGACCCAGATCCATTTGTCTAGAGAAGGCAATGAAGAGTGAATTTGGAGGCAGTGCATTGATAACTGGCACAAGGAGGAAAGCATTTCAAAAGTGGTGGGGGAGTAAAACATCGGCAAAGCTCTAGGAGCAGAAAAGCATGAAGATAACTGAGGAACTGCAGGGACAAGACAGACCAGAGTGCAAGGTTAATGGTAAAGCAGTAAGAGGAGAAAAAGCTTGAGGGGAACTTATAATCTAGACTCTGGAGGGCTTTGAGTGAAAGGAGAATAGTTGAAGAGGAGGATAGAAAGACCAATGAAAGTCTGGGACTTGGTCCTATTGATAGAGGCAGAGGCAGAGATGGAGGGCTGATAGAAGTAATTTGGGACTGCATTTTTGTACATATCTTGATTATTCAGAAAATTGTTTTATGGTTATTCAGAAAACTGTTCGTGATGTTATCTGATATTCTATTTTTTTCTACCTACCCATTTCATAATTTAATAATATAATGCTTTAATATCATAAAAATATAAAATAAAGGGAAAAAGTCAGAGCTCATCAAGGAGTTCACTCTCCTTCTTTACCTTCTTATCTGGGAGAGTACAAGAGCAGTGAGAGCCTCTATTTCTTCACCAGACTTCACCAGGTCTCACTGTTCAAGCATATAGTTGTAGGAGAATTCAAGCAGAGGGGAAATAAAAGTTAGCCATGGATATTGTCAGTTTAGACTGGAGAGGAGAATGGTGGGGGTTTTGGGTTTTTTTGCGGGGGTTGTTTTGATTCACACTCCTCTATCGTCTTTAATTTCACCAGACATGTCTCTCTATCTCCCTACTCTAGTGGTTTATTTTTTTTTTTAATCCAAAAATCTAGGGTAGCTAAATAATCATATTTTTCCCATAACTCTTTGTGACATTTCCTTCTAGGTATGTTGAATTTTGTCTTCTTTATTCTCGAATATTGCCTTTGGCTCAAGGTTTTATATTTTAGTGACTCTTCATATTGTTCTTCTCCCCTCACTTAGAAATGGACACAGAAATCAAGGAAGAAATTCCTGTGCATGAGGAATTCATTTTATGTTGTGGAGTTGAAACCCAGGTTCTAAAGTGTGGGCCCTGGACTGACCTCATTAATAATCAAAGAGGCACGAGGCCTAAGCTGCTTATTTTCATTATTCCTGGTAAGTTTAAAAATCTGGATAAGATGACTGTATACAGATACATGTGACTATTTCTGATTTTAAAGAGAATTTGATAAATATAAAAATCCTTGTGGAAAGAAATAGAATCATTCAAACCATTGATAATAACCACCCTTAATACTTTAGTGGCTGAACCTTTTGTTTATCTTCTGTGCATTAACAGTATATATAATATACACATTTTAAAAATCCATATACGTATGTATACCATGCGTAATGTTTTATAACCTGCTTTTAAAATTTTTTAGCAATTCTTAAAATTAGAACTTAGCCAAGTATTTCATTTCAAGATGATTATAAAGTAGAACATTTATTCTGGGATTTGTCAACTGGGTGATATGTGAATTTTGCTGAATCAGTGTCAGTAGAATGTTAGGGAAAGACACTTTATTGCACTTTTTAAAATTATGAGCTTGAAAAAATACATATATAGCAGCCTTAAAGATTAAAAATGAAATTTTAAGTATGTATCATTTTATAGCACAATATATCATGTACACAGCTAGGCCTCTGGACTATTGTTACATTTCTTGTACATTTTTGTTCGTTTTACCTATGTTAGTGTTTGTCTCTTTTATTTGCTTAGTTTTCTATGTTTCCATCAGTAATTTATCCTAAAATATTCTCTAGAAGTGAAAAAATCTTCTCATATTCTGAGTAATCAGTTTTCTGTTTTGTTTTAGTTCATTTTTGGCACTACTGTGCCCAGAATTCTGTGTTCTTCCACTCCAGTCAAGACTGGTTGCTCTATGGGCCTCCTACACAAGGCCATCCTGAGGACTCATTTTCACTTTTCTTTTGGGTTGGATTCCTTGTTTCCCAATCCCATATTTTTCTTGGTTTATTTCCCTATTTTTGGTGAACCATACCTGCTAGGAACTTCCTGAGAAGAGGTACATGGGAATTCATCTTTTAAAGGTCTAGCATGTCAGAAAATGTCTTAAGAGTTCTAGGTTAGAGATGGTAGTTTCCTTAGAACTTGGAGTAAATTTTCATTCTCTTCCAGGGTTTGGACTGTTTTTGAGAAGTCTTTGTATTTTTCTGATTTTTTATCTTTTATGTGTGAAGTTCTCCCCCTCTGCTGGGAAAAAAACAGGTCTTTTTTTAGATCTTTTCTTTGTTCTAAGGTTCTGAAATTTTACAGTCAAGCCCAGAGGTGTGGGTGTTTTTCATGTGTTGCATTTGGATTTTGGTGGACCTTTTTAAACCAGAAATTTTACTTCAGTTCTCAAAGCTCTGTGTTCTTTTTTTAATAGTCTTCTGTTTCATGTTTTGTCGGTGCATAACCTTTTTTTTTTTTTTTTTGGCTTCTTGCATTATTAGTTGTTGCTGCATTCTGTTTTCTGTTTCCATTAGTGTTTGTTTTTTCTCAAATGTTTGATAATCCTTGACTACCCTATCATTTTTAAGAGGAAGACATAAACAGTTGATTGGAAGTTTGTATTCAGGGGTGAGGCTTGTCCACAGGTGGCCAACCATCCTAGTCTGAGGGGTTTTCTAGGACACAACGACTTTCAGTACTAAAACCATAACAACAGGATGGGAAAAATAGAATGGTTAGTCACCCTACGTTATCCTCACCTTAAGGTAATTGGGTAGGGACCTAGCATTCACTGGAGGATTTCTAGCTTTCAGCATCTGTACCTGTTTTTTGAATTGTTCATTTTTCCCAGGAAGGACTCTTCCTAGCATCCCATTTGAGGGATGGATGCCCAACTGCTGGTGTTAGAGCTGAACAAGGGAAAAGAGGTTGGAATTTCAGTGTTTCTTCTTAATATAATGCTTTTGTTCTCAGCTGGGCTATGATTTCTGATCCAGAATCTCTCGTTGGTTTAACCTCTTCTGAAAATAAACTTCCAGTGTTCTGCCACAATGTAACAGTCTTTTTGAAAAGCAATCTGTCAGCTTTCTATTAAAATTAAAAATACATGTACTCTGCCAGTAGTGAGGGAGAGTTTGAAATTATAGGCATGTGTTCTTTTGATGAAGCAGAGATTTGGAGGCTGTGGTTGAGTGTAGGATTGAGAAAATAATTAGAAATATTATATTGGACTTTAGAAGGGATATCTTTCTGAGGCTAGAATGAAGGAGGTGAAGTTGGTTACTGAAATGGAGAAGTGTGAAGGCATGTTCAGAGGAAATAAAGTAGTTCCTGCCTTTTAACCTCTGTTTTCTCTGTTAAGAGTTGAGGTGATCTGTGGGGAGTAAGGATGGCAGAGGGTGATTGTGACCTTGAGGAAATTGGCCAGTATTAAAAATAGCAAATATTCAGGATGAAAGAAATTATTGACCAAAAACAAGTAGGTAGATTTTGAGTAGGGCTGTGATCAAATACAGGTATATTGGGAGTGAAGTCTAAAAGGGCCGAAGGTCGAGCTGGAAAAGGGCTATCAGAGTTGGGATGCTTTGAATGTAAACCATTTCTGGGTAATGAAGAGACACAGACCTGTGATTCTTTAAGTTGTCAGAAACAACAGTATCATCTAAGCACTTGTTACAAATGCAAATTTGGGGGCCCTGTCCTAAACCTAGTGAACCAGAAACTCTGGGGGTGGGGCAATCCTTAAGATGTCCTCTAGTGGATTTTTTCAATTTAATTTTTTGTTGGAGGATAATTGCTTTACAGTATTGCGATGGCTTCTGCCATACGTCAGCATGAATCAGCTATAGGTATACATATGTCTTCTCCCTCTTAAACCTCCCTCTCACCTCCCGCCCCACCCCACCCCTCTAGGTTGTCACAGAGCATCAGCTTTTAGTTTATGCACACCACCAGTCTAGGCTGTGGCTACTTGAATTGGTTGCTTAAGTTGGATATAGGTGAAGTTCTTTGGATATGATCAGGATAATGAATTATGGGACAAAGGTGTTGACTCAATCAGTCCACCCAGATTTTGAAATCACCTAAGTCTGTGGAATGACAAGTGAAACTGACATCTCTTTTAAGGGTCAGGGTTTTCAGGGAATGTGTAAGAGTGACTAAAAAGTTGATGGATGGAAGTAGATGGCTTCAACCTTAGAGAAAGAGAGATTGTTCCAGTAGGATGAACTAGTAATGGAGAAACAGCTTACTTTATATATACCCACTCAGAGATGTTCATTCACCCACTCACTGGTATAAGGTACCAGGAATAGTGTGTTGCAAAAGCCTTTGCTGTCATTGAGGTGTGGGAAGTGTTAGAGAATAGTGAGGTCTCTGCTACACATGGACGTCACCAGATGGTCAGTACCAAAATCAGATTGATTATATTCTTTGCAGCCAAAGATGGAGAAGCTCTATATAGTCAGCAAAAACAAGACCAAGAGCTGACTGTGGCTCAGATCATGAACTCCTTGTTGCCAAATTCAGACTTAAATTGAAGAAAGTAGGGAAAACCACATGACCATTCAGGTATGACCTAAATCAAATCCCTTACGATTATACAGTGGGAGTGAGAAATTGATTCAAGGGATTAGATCTGATAGACAGAGTGCCTGATGAACTATGGACGGAGCTTCGTGACATTGTACAGGAGACAAAGATCAAGACCATCCCCAAGAAAAAGAAATGCAAAAAAGCAACATGGCTGTCTGAGGAGGCCTTACAAATAGCTGTGAAAAGAAGAGAAGAGAAAAGCAAAAGACAAAAGGAAAGATATACCCATTTGAACACACAGTTCCAAAGAATAGCAAGGAGAGATAAGAAAGCCTTCCTCAGTGATCAATGCAAAGAAATAGAGGAAAACAACAGAATGGGAAAGACTAGAGATCTCTTCAAGAAAATTAGTGATATCAAGGGAGCATTTCATGCAAAGATGGGCTCAATAAAGGACAGAAATCATATGGACCTAACAGAAGCAGAAGATATTAAGAAGAGGTGGCAAGAATACAGAAAGGAACTATACAGAAAAGATCTTTATGACCCAGATAATCACAATGGTGTGATCACTCACCTAGAGCCAGACATCCAGAAATGTGAAGTCAAGTGGGCCTTAGGAAGCATCACTATCAACAAAGCTAGTGGAGGTGATGGAATTCTAGTTGAGCTATTTCAAATCCTAAAAGATGATGCTGTGAAAGTGCTGCACTCAATATGCCAGTAAATTTGAAAAACTCAGCAGTGGCCACAGGACTGGAAAAGGTCCATTTTCATTCCAATCCCAAAGAAAGGCAATGCCAAAGAATGTTCAAACTACTGTACAGTTGCACTCATCTCACACGGTAGTAAAGTAATGCTCAAAATTCTCCAAGCCAGGCTTCAACAGTATGTGAACTGAGAACTTCCAGATGTTCAAGCTGGGTTTAGAAAAGGCAGAGGAACCAGAGAGCAAATTGCCAACATCCACTGAATCTTCAAAAAAACAAGAGAGTTCCAGAAAAGCATCTATTTCTGCTTTATTGACTATGCCAAAGCCTTTGACTGTGTGGATCACAGTAAGTTGTGGAAAATTCTGAAAGAGTTGGGAATACCAGACCACCTGACCTGCCTCTTGAGAAATCTGTATGCAGGTCAGGAAGCAACAATTAGAACTGGACATGCTATATTATGTAGGGTGAAACAGATCACCAGCCCAGGTTGGGTGCATGAGACAAGTGCTCGGGCCTGGTGCACTGGGAAGACCCAGAGGGATCGGGTGGAGAGGGAGGTGGGAGGGGGGACAGGGATGGGGAATACATGTAAATCCATGGCTAATTCATTTCAATGTATGACAAAAACCACTGCAATGATGTAAAGTAATTAGCCTCCAACTAATAAAAATAAATGGAAAAAAAAAAAAAAACTGGACATGCAACAACAGACTGGTTCCAAATAGGAAAAGGAGTACCTCAAGGCTGTGTATTGTCACCGTCCTTATTTAACTTATAAGCAGAGTGCATTATGAGAAACACTGGGCTGGATGAAACACAAGCTGGAATCAAGATTGCCAGGAGAAGTATCAAGAACCTCAGATATGCAGATGACACCACCCTTATGGCAGAAAGTGAAGAGGAACTAAAGA